CACAGTGTAATATATTGTGTCGTTATTCGTTCAACCACGAACATGTGAACGTATTTATCTAAAATATATACGGCACAGCCGTATTTCGTCGCCTTTGTGCTAGCGTAGCATGTAAATCCTTCCAAATGTATCCAGTCCTCATTCTCAAGAGGGTATTATGCGATCGCTATTATTTTCGGTTTTCGTTTTGTTGAGAGTTTCAGCAACTCGGTGACAACATTCATGGACCCGCCGACGTTGTGATAAATTATATCTGTTGTCGCCATATTTATTTAGGCGTCGGGGGAGGGGCCAGCACTGCTGGTGCTTTTCCTTTATCCGCGGCCGTGGGGGGTTGTACTGGGGACTTTGCCCTAGTCCTAGTTGGGCAATGGTTATCTCCAGCGAAATGAGAGGTTTCTTCGCAGTTAACACATCTTCTTAGGGTATGGGAACACATCTTCCCTTTTCCCGCCGTGCAGTACGTCTGTGCGCAGAGGTGGTCTTTGGTGTGGTGTCTTCCTCCACAGTATTTGCATATTGCTTCCATCCTGCAATGGACGGCATGGTGTCCGAATTGTAGGCACCTCGCGTAACAGGTTGATGAGTCTTTCTTTACATATTTCCGGAAGGTACACCTCATGCCAAAGATGGCCATGCTCGGGAGCGGTTTTTTGGTTTCGGCCATGATCCAGTCGTTTGCCTCTACCGCCACTATTGCTGAGGACTTGATTTTTCCTTCAGCTTTGAGTGCTGTCGGGGACCTGAGCCACTTAGGCCTGTCTAGCAGCCGGACCTGTGGGTTGTATTCAGAGATTTCCTTTGCTAGGTCCTCCCATCTGTCCGAGTCCGTGTCCCATTCTTCGGGTATCCAGTCTTCGTCCCCTAGTGGTATGCTATTGATGACGATGTTGATGGACGGTGTGTCTGTGGTGACATTCAAGCCGAAAACGTCGATCCCGTTTAGGGCCTTGGTGATTGCCGGCACGTCGTTGAGGACTGGTTCGGCCGGCAGGTCTCCCATGGTGGTAAGTACCAGGTCGTTGTTTCGGTTAAATTCTGTGTATGCGAACTTAACCCTGGATGCCGAGTTGACCGCGTCTCTGATTCTTGCTGGTGACAGCCCTGCTGCTCCTATCCTGCGACCTCTTTCCACCGATCGGATAAGTAGCCTCCTTTGCCTGGCATGCGGGGTTGAGGGTGCCGAGGGCGCTGTCTCTCGGATGCCTGGGGCTGGCTCTTGTCTTTTTTTCTTCGTTGGTACTAGCCGGAAGCCGTCCACATCAATTCCGGAGGACGTAATGGTGGCCCATGTCTGTTTGAGCATTGTTTTCTGCGGGGCGGTTTCGTTTGCCTTGGTACTCGTCCCGGTTTGCGGTGCCGGTACTGGTGCGTCTCCGCTTAGGTTTTCTTAGAATTTGTTTTGAGGGAGGGGGGGGGGGCTGCGGTGCGGCGTTGCGGGTGGGGGGGGGGTTTTTGTTGGGGGCCGGGGATTGGGTTCCGGGTTGTTCAAGGGCAACAAAAAGGGGAAGGGTAGGGGTGATGACGGCCCAATTCCCAACCCCTAATCCTAATTTCCCGGGAAACCGGTACCCCCTTGCCCGCAACCGCCCCCGGGAATTCATTTCCAGCTGGTGGATGAAGCCCACCATGATGCCTACGGTGACGGGGCGTCCTAGTTCCTCCTTTTCTTCTGGTGTGAGTTCCACTTCCGCCGATTCATACAGGGAGGAGGAGGGGATGGTGGGGCGGTTTTGGGCATGTGAGGAGTTCGGGTCGTTGGTCATATTGCCTGTTAGGGTCCCCGGGATTTCTCTTGTCGTGGTCAAGGGGGAAGAGAACCGTACCTGCCTTGGTACACTCTGGGGGGCCGAGCTCTCCGGCACTTCGCTTGGTCCGTGGGCGTGTTGGCTGTCTCCTAACCCGGTTTGGTCTGTGTTTTTCCCGTTTCCCAGGGACATTGCTACATCTTGTGTGGCTTGCGTTTCGGTTACTCCGATGTCTTGAGACTGGTCCATGGGTTCGTCCATTTCGCCTAGCGGTGGGGAGGAGGCGGGTACCTGTGGTATCTGGGATACTGGTACAGGGCTTTCTTGTGACGGGTGGTAGGAGGAGGCCGCTGCTGCCAGGAAAGCTAAGGCGTCGGTGTCGGCTGCATCTACCGCTTCATTGCCAAAGATTTTCTGGAGTGTGGTCCTGAACCCTGGGAGCTCCGGTTGGGGTGCCGCTATGGTCGGGGCCTTCGTGTTTCCGGTGAGGAGGACGTAGCATGCATTCGTGCATCCTAGTTCCTGTCTGACCTCGGGGAAGGTACTTCCCCTGGCCACGATTCTGTTTCCCACGTTGATTAAGGCATTGGGGCAGCCCCTTTGGTGCCTAATAGTGGCAAACATGGGGAGGGTTGAGTTGAGGGAAACTCCTTGAGGGGAGCCGGGCGGGAGGAGGCTGGGGGAATTGATCCTTGGGCTCTTGGTAGGGCTTCTGGGTCCCCCCAGGGGAGAAGGAGAGTGGGGGAGATGCGGCAGGGCCGGAGACGAAGGTTGGGAGGTCATGGTGAGTGAGTAGGATGGTCTTATGGCCGGCGTCCTAAACTCTCAAAGGAAATGAAGCCTTAGGATGGAGGGCTGTGATTGGCCACACCACCTAAGGGAGGAGTATCATGAGTGAGGGGGTGGAGTAGTTCTTTGAGTGAAAATTCTGGTTGTACCGGATAAAAAGATGATGTGTACACAAACAAAAATAAACTTGGTGTGGTTGCAGGAATGCCCCGCTAACTGTACCGGAATTTCCGAAATTTTTCTCGCTCCGTGTGTGTGTGTGTGTAAACCTTTTATTCTTCCACTATCTCACCTACTAACTAAAGTAATCGGAGTACGGCATGAGATACAGCCCCCAGCCCAAGGCCCCCCTTAAAGAAATCCCCCTCGCGGGCCACCTGCCACAAAACAATCATTACATCAACGCGCAACAAAGGAAACAACAGCCCAGCGCCCGCACCTACACCCGACCCTACCCCTAGCAACATTAGCCAAGCGTCCACGGCCCCGAGTCGCAGGCGCCACCCGAAGGCGGTTCCCCGGGGAGCTCCCCATTAAGCGACTGTACCCCCAAGCCATTACAGCAAGGGTTATACCGCAATGTCGACAACAAAACCGAACGGTCGGCGGAGTTCGGGACAGGTCAGTCGTCGTCATATTCGTCTGGGCCAGATGAGGAAATGTAGATTGCCGAGCCGTCACCGCCAAGCATTTGGCCGCGCCCCGAAAGGGGGCGGGCCACACCAGTCGAGCCACACCCCAAAAGAGGGGGTGGCGAAGGTCAATTTCTCCGGGTCAAAGCCATCCCCCCCATAGGGGTTCAGGAACGCCGGGTTCGCGCGGGGGCCCAGCTCGAAGCTGGGAAAAGACAGTGAGGGGCGCAATGCCCAAAGGCCCAAGCAGGCGAGAAGGAGGACCAAGGAGGAACCGGAATCGCATGAGTGTCCGAACGGTCGCTCCGAAGAGGGGGGGAGGACGGCCTCCCTATACGACCAACTGTATCCTGGCCGGAAACCAAGGACGTCCGACCGACGAGCAAGAGCAAAAGAACGTGGGGAAAAAATAAGGACCGCAAGGCCCACTCGGTGCCGTATCAATAGGCAAACAAAGGAAAGCGAGCCAACGGAGCACAAAATTGTGAACCTTCCGAAGGTGGGGAAGTTAAAGACTTGAAGCCATCGTGAGAAGCTCTTCAAGGGCGTTTGATTGGGTGAGCCCCCCGAACACCGCACCGATACACCTAACCCTCAGAGTTGAAAAGAAGGAGACTGTGTGTGTGTGTGTGTGTGTGTGTGTGTGTGTGTGTGTGTGTGAAGATTGGAAGTGGGAGGAGAACGGGGGCCCCTTTGTGGGAGATGCATCGTATCACGAGCCCCACCGTGATGGTGATGTGCTCTAAATTTGTGTGTGTAAGTGTGATACCAGCACGATACTGTACTCTACTGTACAGTACCTCCCCACCGATTGACTATCTCTGCGGCGCCCTATTATGTATCAGTTTGTGGTGATCTCTCCTTGAGTAATGTAATAGCCTTGTCAACAACAACAGTAAATCAGCCCTGTAGTCGAGGAGAAGGAAGACGCAATTCACCCTTTGGGAATCAGCGGGCGTGCTCCCGCCTCCGCCTTCCCTCCTTCCTCTCCGAGTTTGCAGTGTCTCTTTTTCCTTTTTTGTCCCTCTCTCATCCACTTCTACTCTACAAGTATAGTACTCAATACGAGTGCTGTACTGTACTTCCTCCCCCATCCGTCCCCTCGAGTTCCTTCCGCAGTGATACAGCGGTTCCATATATCTTAGGGACCTGCTGTGCAAGTATTATATTACAGTACAGTACATGTGCTTTACGGCCTCAGGAGCGCCTACAGCTAACCCAGGCCAATCGCACAATAGAACTTCCTACAAGTCAGCCCGCCTTCACCCCTGTTTGCCCCACGTTGAAGTATCATACCGTAAACTTCCTGTCAGACGGAAAAGGGTGAAGAGAACTATCACAAACAGAAAACCAGGCAAATAAACAAGCTATTGGAGTGTCTCCGGGTCCTTGGGATTTCCTGGGAAGGGGTTTCCATGCATTTACAATCATACCCTGATGTCCTTTGTAGGGAAGTAACGAAGAGGGCTGGGAAAAAAAAATTTAATGGCTTACAATTTATGATAAGGACGAGTACTCGAGTAGGGAGCTGAGCGAATACGGTACCGGTACTATAGTCAGCAATCGGCTTTGTTTTATTGCAATCACTGGAATGGAGATAGAGAAGGACATCTCCTGCCGATGTGTAAGATTTTTTTCCTTTTTTTTTTTCTTTCACCACCCTATTGTGGGTACTGTACTCGGTACAGTACTGGTTCGCATCCTTACCAAGACGCCTCACATCATCACCCTCACCCTCACCTCCTTCTTTCACTTCCCTTCCCTTCCCTTCCCCCTCCCCGCCTTGTTTGCCGTACCCGCAACCTTAACGACGGCTGAAGAATGTCCGATCACCACTAACATATGCCCTACAGCGGCTGACACTTTAGCAGGAAGGCGAGAAGGAAAAAAAAAAAAAGTTGGGTAAGAGTAATAATTCTAGTATCATACGGGCCTACCCTGGTAGATCAATTACCCATCTGAGCCTAATTTTTCTTTTCTTTTCTTTTTTTGGTGGGAAAATCTGTTTTCTCTCCTTTTCTCACTCTTGGCTTCATTGGGTCCCGCTGTCCCTATATTTCCTAATTCTCGATTTTAGCTTTTGACATTATAAACTTCAGCCGGGTTTGGGTTTTTTTTCTTAAACCCTTTCCTTTCCTTTTCTCTTTTTACTCACCACTTTTATTGTTCATCGTTTCCTCTCAATCTTCTTCTCGAAGATCTTGACGTCCTGGCTACTCCAATTTTTGTGTCTCAAGTCAGACATTATGGCCGCCAACTCTATAAAGCTCTTGACGGGCAATAGCCATCCTACTCTGGCTCGGAAAGTTGCGGACAGGTATGTGCCATTTCTGCTCTCTCGTTCACGTATAACCTTTGATGGGGCTATACAACCGGGATCAGATGAAAGCGGGAGCAAAGCGATTGAATCCATGTGCAACTTTTCTCTAACCATTTTCAGACTCGGAATAGACCTCACCAAAGTTCTGGTCGTGCAATACTCGAATCAAGAAACCTCCGTCACAATTGGCGAATCTGTTCGAGACGAAGATGTTTTCATTATCCAATCCGCAGCGCCGGGTGAGGTGAACGACGGGCTCATGGAGCTCCTAATCATGATAAATGCTTGCAAAACAGCCAGTGCCCGGCGGATTACAGCCATGATACCAAACTTCCCATACGCAAGGCAGGACAAGAAGGACAAGTCACGGGCGCCCATTTCGGCGAAGTTGATCGCAAACATGTTACAAACCGCGGGTTGCAATCACGTCATCACGATGGATTTGCACGCCAGTCAGATTCAAGGATTCTTTAATGTCCCGGTTGACAAGTAGGCATCCTCCTTTCTTCCCTGCTCCTACCTTCCTGCTTTTGCACTTTCTTTGAGGAGGAGAGAGAGGGAGGGGATCTGGTTCATCTAGGGATGGAAAAAAGACTGAGACAAGGCAATTTTTTCCTTTCGGCGGGGGCTTTTTTCTACAGTCTTTACGCCGAACCTTCCATGCTACAATACATTCGCGAGAACTTCGATTACCGCAATGCCGTCATAGTTTCTCCGGATGCTGGCGGGGCGAAGAGGTAGGCATCTTTTCAAGGCATTCTGGGAACCTACCTGCTCTAACGGCATGGCAGAGCGACCGCAATTGCGGACCGCCTAGACCTAAATTTTGCATTAATCCACAAGGAGCGCTCCCGACCAAACGAAGTAAGCAAAATGGTCTTGGTTGGTGACGTCCAGAGCAAGATTGCAATTCTCGTAGACGACATGGCAGATACGTGCGGCACGCTCGTGAAGGCTGCGCAAACGCTCAAGAAGCACGGCGCCCAGGAAGTCGTTGCAATCGTCACTCACGGCATCCTATCGGGGAATGCGATCGACAGTATCAACAAGAGTGAACTGGGCAGGGTAGTGGTTACAAATACCGTTCCACATGGCGAGAAGAAGAAACGGTGCCCAAGACTTCACACTATTGATATTGCTCCCACGGTTCGTTGGCAGCATTTAATATGCCCGAATTATATCCGAGAACACATGCTAACACATGATATGCAGCTCGCCGAGGCGTGCAGAAGGACTCATAACGGTGAAAGTGTTTCTTTCCTCTTCAGCCACGCACCGACCTAGGTGTGCTCCCCTAAATGAAAAAATGAAAAAAAAAACAGTGAAAAAAAAGTCCATAATGTTTATTATATTCTCAAAAGGACAGTATTTGTGTCTGGCTTTTCCACTCATCACTTTGTTTGTCAGTACATTACCCGCAAGGGCGTGTAACTGCATATCCAGTTCTTTTATTTATTTATTTTCTCTTTCCCTCCTCTTTGCTTCTTTGTCACCCCCCCCCACCACAAAAGGGCTCCTGCGCCCAAAAAAGTTTAACAACACATTATAGAGTTATAGTCATTCAACAACACACCGCATCGAGATCAATCAGGATCAATATTCGAGTCAAGTCGCCGTAGCTAGTTTATGTTAGGTTTTATCAGAATCAGAACTCACTTGACTTGCATGAAATCCGGTAATGATTTCAACATCATGTTTGACAGAGTGTAGTTAGACCTGACCAATCGTGGTTTGGTGGTCTATGTCTGATATGTCTGATATGTATGTATGATATGTATGATATGTATGATATGTATGATATGTATGTATGTATGTATGTATGTCGTGCTTGACGATGTTGCCGATTCTCTCGTGGTGTGATACGCACACACGTGCTCGGGTCAGTCAATGAGTTGAAACAGGTATAGTACCATACTGGTGATTAGTAATCGGTGCGGAGAGGTATGATATGATGACGGGCTTTTCTTTTTTCCCGAGACGGAATGCCTACGGGTACCAGTACTTGTACTTATGTCGACGAGTGAGGTTGTGTGCAGTGCTCGAGTAGTGTGCCGAGTGCCCAGCTCACTTATCATACCGGTAAGTTATGTAGTTACGTATGCGGTAGAGTGACGGTACAGTACAAGTAATATAGTACTGTACCGGTACCCCGTATAAGTGTGTAAAACCTAAGCATTGATAAAATCCTCGCTTCGCGCTTAGCTAGCGTAAATACCCGCGTATCATACGATCCGGTGCCGGCAGAGCACAGTGCTATGCTCATAAATTTATTAGGCCCTTCGACGAGTCGGGGGTTAGACAAGAGAAACGATACCCAGCGTAAATTACTACTCGTAGTAGACCGGGCCTTCCCTCACGGCGTTGTCCTACCGTAACAGGTATCACATCACAAATACTACCATTACTCTAAGTTACCGGTAAATTTAACCACAAATAAAGCGATCCCATGGGGCCGGCACTCTCAATCGAGCCCGATCAAGTCTGGTCGAGGCGGTGCTTACGTAATGTCCAAGCTACTCGAGGAGGTGGGGGGAAAAAACATGCTTCGACTCATGTAGAGTACTGTACGAGTACCCGATAGATGGGGGTATATATCCATCGCTAGCGTTAATCTGCTCTCTCTCTCTCTCTCTCTTTTTTTTTTTGAAAGGAAGTTGGGATGCTTCCGGTTATATATTTGTTTGGGCGGTTTTTCTATATTTCATTCATCATATCAGCGCTTCGGACGTTCATACTTAAATTACCGCGGGGAAACAGGTAAATTAAAGTAGGGTAGTGCAGCTGAAAAAGTTATCATGGGCGGTCCAAATCGCCTTCCCGTAAAAGGAGGTAGAGTAAGATATCTTTCCGCCTGTCCCTCTGAACGGCATAAAAAAATAATATATCGTGCCAGAACTTACCTTAGGAAGCGGCCCGAACGGTCGCACACGGAATCCAATTGTTTATTTTTACTTTTAACCATACTGGTACTGTACCAGTACCGTACCCGGTACGAAGATTCCCGATTTCACTGTTGGACTTAGTCCCTGTCCGCCGTACAGAGGTAGTACTTTCTTTTCCTTTAGTCAAAAGACTTTTGTTCGTTTTCTAAATCTGTGACTACGCCTGATCTAATTATAAGTGGTTTACCGCATTGGGTACCTCTTATAGTTGGATGTCGGAATAAGGGTATCACTACTGCGTCATATTGAAAAGGTGGCTACTGCCTGGTGTTGAAAGGTGGCCTATATGGTATAGGCCACAGTGTTCGGTGTGACTGCTTAGTGGATGTAGTATATTAGGATCTCTTCTCGTTTTGCATTTGGAAAATCAAGCTTCTTCTCTCCTACTCCGGGAACACACACACTCACATTCACGTCGAGTGATATTTTATGATGGCTGAGTATATTAATTTACCTCATACCGGTATGTACAGTGGAGTACCGGAATTTCAAGTCCGTGCGGTGTTGCCCCGGTACTGCGCATACGGTGCCTCGGAATACCCTCGCTGTAACAAGATATGATATCTGCATCGTTATCCCTACCATAAGTCCCGCCTCCCTCCCACTATACTTTCCCCCCTCGTTCATTACGTTTGTCGCTGTGGATGAAAAGAACCGTCGCCGCATATCCCGTCCTTAACACCCTCCTCTTCACCGGGTTTCTCGATCCTATTCGGTGGGCGGGCGACTGCGGGTGGGGTGGAGATTATTCCTACGGCGGCGGGTCATGGGTTGTATAAGTACTGTGCTTTTCTTCCCCCTTTTTCCGATTATCGATTGGTCAATTTTGGGAGTAGGTTTACGGCATCGCCTCGTATGTTTATGGGGAAATATCATACAGAGTGGGGTTTTTTTTTCAGGGGGGGGGTTAGATTTTATTGGTAGGGCAGGGTTACAGTATTAGGGGACGTAGAGCACAAGGGCGGGGGAAGGGAAGGGTATGCGCCCCCTGGTTTTTTAAGATTGCGGGGGAAGGAGGGAAGTGGGCTGGACATGTGAGGTGAGTTATGTATGATAAGAGCATGCAGGAACAGGGTCTGGGGTGTTGAGATTGGTACCCCCATACTTTTATTGGGTGATAAGCTTTTAAGAAAATAAGTCTTGTACGAGCAGGAAGGGTGTCATGTCAGTACGTCGGATTTAAGCCATCTTGGTGGTGGATGGCTAGATTCGGTGGGGATGGGTATCGGGAGATCTAAGGAGTGGCTAACGTCAGCAGTGTTTCC